AGGTTTATGAACACTGTTACCGAGCCCATGCGAACAGAATTCTAGATGTTCTATTTGGAATTTTGCATACATTCTCTAAGAATAAACTAAAAAAAAAAAAAAAGAGAATTTATTTTTCTGAATAACATTGTCATTATCCATTTATTCATTTTTGTTACAAGATACTGCAAATAAATCTGTTTGTTAGCTTATGGACAGGTTAACTACAGCAGTGCTGTGAACATGAAAGATCAAAAATAAAGCAATTATACTTTCCTTCTATGCATAAGGTTATAAGAAGAGCTGTGATCTAATTTATTATTTCTTCCAATCTTTAGCTGAAATTGAGAACATTCAAAATTATACTATGACCTAGTTATACTATGGACTAGTGTGGTAATAACAACAGAAATCCCTAAGAAAATAATTTCAGCCTCAGATGACAAAAATCGAGAGAAACCATGAACAACATATTACCCATAAGCAGCAGTTTAATAGCATACTTCATTTCAGCCTGTAGCCTAAAAGTTACAGGCTCTAAAAGGAAATACTAGACCTTCAGAAGATTCTATATAATTGCACAGTTCAGGTCTTCTCATTAGCCAAGCTACTCTTCTTGAGATTTACAGCTCTGAATGTAACAAAATCTTTGTCACATGGTGCATGTAGGATTTTCACCCTTCAAATTAATTCCTTTTTCTCACTGGAAACTAACTGAGTTTTAGGCTTCCATTTGCTGATGGGAGAGCAGCCTTTTCAGGGCCTTACAGCCCAACAAAACACTAAGTATTGTCTGATGTTAAATGTGTGCTGCACTTTCCTCAAGGTAAATGGGATGCAAATGAATGTTTGGTTGTTTTATTTAATATGGATGATCTCATGCACCTTTGAACTGTTCTGCTGCCAGCTGCCACTTACCACTAACAGAGAAGTAAAATTTATAGGATATGCACTGGGTCATTTTAAACTAATCTCCACAAAAAGAAAATAGTTCATTGGGAGTAAAAAAAAGTCTGATAATGCCACCTCTGCAAGTTGCTTTGATGGGTGTAAGAAAGTCAGAAAAAAGCTCAAGTACTCTGGCTGGCAGTGCAGCCACACAGCTTCTACTTTACTTCCATAATCATTTTTAAAAACACAGCAAAATGAACAGCGCTGAGCAGTTTGTGCTCCTATCATAATGTACAACCTCTCGGTACCTCATGTACAATAATACCTCCATGAAAATCAAGCTGCATTGCTTCTGCTTCTTTGTACAACACTTTGCATGACTAAGAGCAGCAAGTGACAAGGTTGCCCAGTTAACTGAGATTGATTATTGTTGCTTCAGCACATCCATAATCATGATGCATGCAGCATGGAGAGATGGAATTATTTTCATACACTGCCCTGATTGGTAGAAAAAGCCTTCTTTTCTAACTGAACTGAAAACGTATAGAATGCATGCAATATGCTCTAGAGGAATGGGTACTGTGGTAGCTGCCAAAAGGTCTCATGCCATGCATGCCTCTGAGCAAGGTGAGTCCTGCATGCTGACTGCATTTGCCACTCTTCAGTCACTGTGGTCATCACTATAAAGAACATAAATTTACCAGTTGTTACCGCTGCAGTATCTGAGATACTACTGTTTTACTATGAACAATAGTGAGAATCCAAAAGAAGCACAAGAAATGAGTGTGGTACGTGGTGAAAAGTACAGCAATTGTAGGTCTGGATTTTATTTCAGTAACATTGGTTTTACAGCTGGTTAACTGTACTGACTTCAAAAGAATTGCTGCAGATTGTTACTAATGAAGTGACTATAGAGTGTGAACCTCTGTATCTGCTCACAGCAACAGGAAACTGAAGATTCTTTAGCAGAAAAATGGGTTAGCACATTTTTTTTTCTTTTCTTTTTCAGCATATATTTTTAAAGCCATTTCCAAAAATCTCAGAGGACTTAACATTTTAAAGAAGTCACTGTTATGCCATAAAATTCTGGAAGTTATAAAAATATCTAAGACACTGGCACTTCATATTTGGCAATTTCACTGTTTAGTGAATAGCAGAACTGTTCTAAAGTTCAGGTGACTTTTCAAAATCAGAATTTTGGGAGGATGCGATTCCTGGGAAACAAGGAGGAATTTCTCTTTTTCAACAGACATATCAATAGCCTTTGCTATTCTTCCTTACTGAGCAATGCAGTCTGTGGTTAGACAACAACAAAAGTTAGTGCTAGTAAATCTCATTTGATCAAATGGATTAAACAGTACTTTGTGGAAATGAACAGTGCACTTCAAATTCCTTAATGATTAAAGAGTGATTTATTAAATATTTTTAAGGTGAAATATGGTTACAAATAGCTCAGTAATAGAAAAAAGCAGTAATATATCGATGCCATAATGAATTTTCTATATTAGGATTAACACACCAACTGCAGATAGTTAAATAAGCATTTAAATTATTAATTTTCTCATTATTTCATGTTTCTTGAGACACTAAGCTTCATGTAGCCCAACACAAAAGATTAGAGATGAAATAT